AAAAAAAGGCATCGAGCAGGAGGAATGCAATTTTTTTGAGTAGTTACAAAGTGTTTGCATAACATATAAACATGGCCTTTAATTATCCATTTGTGTCTTTAGGCGTGTTTTGAGATCTTAACTCTCTTCTCGATTGGTCTACAAGTATTCTGTCTACGCCGCACTTTCCCTGTATTTAAAATATCTTCTCTGGCTGGTGACAATTGCAACTTCATCGCCATGTTCTACTACACACAACTTATAAGTAGGCTTGTGATTAACGTTCCTCAAAACGACACCTTCATGGTTGTTGTAGCTTTAGAGAAGGATAATTGAAAGGTGTTACTTGGATATCTAGATGGGGTATGGTTGCATTCAGAAACCCTGACTTTAACAAGGATTTTGACGAACACCCGTACAACAGATTGCTATCTAAGCCTAGTGAGAGATGGCTTGAAAGTAACGTATGTGTATAAATGGTTGCTTGTTTATACACCTAAAAGAAGTACATGCTAGATTTAAGTCGACGAGGTGGAAATATGGGCTTGTTAAAGTACCCCGGGGTAAGTCTTTGGCATAATTTGTCCCTCCTATACGTAAATAACCTCCATAATTTACTATCATAATCTATTTTTTTAGGTGCTGACTCTATCAACGTTTAGAAAGTGATGAGAAAAGGAAGTAGAAAGCTAAAGCTTCAGAGTGACATATAGAACTTACTTAATCAGTTTGGAACTTGTTTTACAATTTCTTAACCTGACGTGGTGGTTGAGCTACCCTCCTCTTCTGAGAATCCTGAAGTACAAACAAAACATGGTTGGTAAAACAGTTTGTTTAACGGTAGAAGAAAGACTATGTATGGTCACTTGTTCATGGAACGAGACATTGTGTTTGTTTCATTTTCACGTGTCCATTTTCATTTACCATCACCATTGGTATTTAAACGAACAGTATTCGCCAACAAGAAGCAATTTTCCAAGCCTGCCTGGAGGCTGCATAGACGAAAACGAACGGACAATAACACGCGGCACAAATTTGTTGATAATGATTGCTAGTCAAAATCATTCGCTCACCACAGCAACAGCTAGGTAACAATGTCCGAATATTATCAACAATAGCAAATTACATCAGCACTCTTATTTGACATAGTATGATCGCTGAATACGTATTCACTGAGTAGCGGGGCCTGAGATGACCAAATATGACAGAAACAAACATATGAGAATTAAAATCTTGAACGGTGAGAGCAAGCTAGATAATTAGTCCCAATACCGCAGCTACGTTAATATTGATATACACCCTTAACTCAAAATTCGCGGTTAATCTTCCTGAATAGTAGTATATATTTTAATCGGTAGTTCGGTTATAGCTCAGCTTTACTTCTCTGACCCTACAGAATCACTTCCACACAATTTTATAACGTCTCCAAATTCTCTGGTACGGCCCAGAATAGGAATAGTCCATCCTCTTTGAAATGCTGTCATATGGCAACACGTTGACTACTGCATTCAGAGAAATCCTGATCACAACTTTTTCTCAACCAAGGTATCGTTTGTGGACGCGAGGTAGCAAAAAAAGAACGTTGATACTTAGACTGAAATGGTGTATACAGAGGATCAACCCACATGAGTGTAAAGACTTTTACTCTAAATGATCCCCATGGGCTTCCAGGGTTGTCCTTACTGGATAACCTTGAGTACGAGCTTTCCGTGTTAAAGGCTAGAGGGATGTCATCCAAAGCAAACAACCCGCCTCGGTTTGAAGGCTGAAGAAGTATCACAACCTTCACTCAAAATAGCCTCCTTCGACGTTCTTACGCTGATTTATATCAGACAACAGATAGGTTAAACCGTGTATTCGGGAGGCCTTTAAATGAATGTTCACTGTAGATCCATGACCTATATTCCAGCTCGACGACTCGTAACCCGGGTAGCATTATTAAAAATAGAAATGCATCTGAAGGTACGAATATGCAATACATAAATGGCTTTTAAGCGGGCCCATAAATTCAACAGATAACCAAAAATGAGTATAAATGACTTCATTTTGATCTAAATATGAACAATCAACAACCAGATAATAATTATATGAGAATTCAAAGATAACAATAAAGGTCACTCGTCAATTTACTAAAAAAGATGAGCGATCATAGTTTTCAATAGCTATACACGTCTCTAACAGGTGGGAAGCGTGACGTCCATCCCTTGGGGATATCTGTTTCTGCGAGTAGTACAGTAGTAACGTAGTGCGTTATATATTGATGTTCACTGAAACAACAACACAACAGCCAGGACCGGTAAGTGCCTCTGAAGTAAGAACGCGGTGCACTGGGACAAGAGATATCTTTTTAAAATTGAAAGATGCGGTTTGAGTATAAAAAGGGAAACTTATTACAAATCAGTTTTACTCGTTTTTCTGCAGTTTCAGATCGCGTTAGACTTCTTCCTCTTCTTACAGTACGTTTACTCTTTGTTGCCATGCAATAAGAAAAACAAACTCGCATTAGTAACGTCATATGTGATGATTTTTATTGTCGTTACAGTACAGTCGCTAGATCTGGCCTCCACCGAAGTACATTGAATAAGTAAAACAAAATGAATAAGTTGATAAAGCGAATGATAGCAAGAAAAAGATCGAAAGCTGAATTTAAACACAAAATAAATGACTCTAAGCCCATAGGAATCAAAATATTTAATGAATTTTTAAGCAAGGACATCGAAAAACTCCGACTTTACATACAAATAAAGATAACAAGTTATCATGCAAAACGTAACATGCAGGCGTTTTCAAGCATGTTCACACTAAAACATACGCGAACATTATTACTAAAGTAGTTGCAAGACTAGTCATCAATTTACCGAAGAGCATATAATGAGGGTGTATAACCAAGCTTTGATTGTTTCACTAAGGCAGTGGGGCTATCAGGGTTGCTTCAAATAGCTCTGAAAGTGGATAGTGGTGGAATAGATCTACTACCTGAAGTAAAAAATTTCGACCATGAGTATTCGGATGAAGTCATCTGGCTGTTGAATGATACTTAAGCCATTTAATCCGCACCTCATCCGTTGGCAATCAGTGTTTGTAGGTAGACCATGAACTTAGGATCTTTTGAGTGCAAAGTACTTATACAAGACTGGGTAGAACCCGTATCTACACTCAATCTCAGTAGCAAGCAGTAGGAATTAGTCACAAAGTTCGTGTACTTAGGCAGCTATGTAAGTGCTGGTGGCGTCACGAGTGATGGATTGATCCACGTGTTAAGAAAGTTCGAGCGGTCTATGTCAAATCAGACTATCGTTGTCATTGTCATGATGCTAGTCTGGCTGATGAAACGTAACCTTCCCAAGATGAGGAGATTTAGCAACTCCTACTCGATTACTGTTTCCCCAGAAGGATTGAATATATTTAGAGACAATACTGTATTAGTAATACGGAAGTTTGTGAATGTATGTTTGACTGTGGTGACCATATCCCATTCGGTATCGCTATTTTGAAACGCAGACTTTGGTGGTTTGGCCACGTGTTACGAGCATCATCCCAGTGGACTTCACATTGTCCATTAGTTGACGACTTTTGAAATTGTTAGAAAAAGCAAGTATGCAGCGAGTTTATGACAAGGGTCTGTGGTATGAATGAAAATTGTATGGTAAAGGTACCTGTCAGTCCACCACGACTTCTTGTCTAGAGTATGAGAGATGGTACTGCTCAGTGGCTTGAGACATTGTCAGAAATTACTCACAATAGAGGGCAATAATTTTCATCTACTTCCAACACATTTAACTGAAAGGATTGTTCCTGATTGCACTTTTCCTAAGTGAATCGTTCTGTCATAACATAGTACTGTAACTTATTTTCATTTACTTATTTGTCTAGACTATACACATCCTCCTATCCATGTCTTTGCTCCTTTTTACTTCCCTGTTTGTGATGTGTATTTATTTTGGTACCTAATTTTACAAGTAATCATGTATTCAAATAAATGATTATATAATGCTGGCACATCACTTCTTTTTCCCCTAATTTTTAAAGGAAAACAGACGTTTAGAACATTCCCTATAGTTCATAGCAAGCTTAACTTCATGGTTTCTTCTTTTAATTGTGTAGAGGTAGGCCAGAATTATTCCTAATTTTGTGTAGACACTTAGTAGTCTCCCACTAACCTAAATTTCCTCGACACTTGTTTTATGCAGAATCGCATGAATATTGTTGGATCACGGGGAACAGTTTCATGGTATCAGCCAAAGTACCTATTATATGGTGGCTATGTTGAATAACTTCCCGATCACCACCGAATCCTTTTGATGATAGGATTCTGGTGTAGTCCGTTAACGTTGATGATCTCAATGGAATGATGGGAGGCCCATTCGAGTTCAACGGAAACGGTGTAACGAACCAGCTAACTTCGAAGTCACACTTTGTGGTCTGCATCTAACGTGGATTACCCCTTTCACGTATTTAAGTACTATGCCTGCTTTGAAGACCATATAACATAAAAGATGTTATTACGTAAATATGTTGGTAAGAATGAGTACATAGAAGATAGCGAGACCACTACCACCAGTTCATGGTATGTGATTAACTGAGGCACGTTGGTGGTCCTTGACTTTGACAGGGGTCAATGATTTGTTCGATATTCAGTGGCACAACTGCCGGATGACATGTCTAGGACTCAGTGACATTTCACTGCCCCTACACTGGTTTTTACCATCAAACTTACTGTGGATGCTGCTTGCGTAATTTACGACGCATGTTTTCCCATACATTTGACGTACCTGAGTTCTGATCATAATTGTTGTATGGTAAGTAAATATTAACAATACTTGGGCACTATTACTTAGGGGCAGACTGTAATCGAGTTTAGTGACGCTTTGCTAAGTGTAAATAAATGTAAGTCCTAGCAACGTTGATTAGGGGCGCCCCAACCGCACTCGTCTCACAGAAGCATTTAAATCTTTTACGATCTGAAACTGTGTTAGTATTGCAACGAAACTTTATACCTTTAGCATCGGTTGTTGTATGTTGTCAATGGATGGCCTTGAGGAGTCTGGTATTTCGCACGTGAAACCGGTCACAAACCGGTTTTCCTAACAGACGTACGGGTTTGAAATCTACTGAGGGCTTGATTGTTTTTGTTCTCAATAAGTCTCCATTCCTCAAGATACAGTTTGTAAGTCAACCCTTAGTATTTTGGTGTAGTCGGATGATTCGAATGGATTGATCGATTCGATAAATTTCAATTCGCTTACAAACAAAATAGGTTATCACAAAAACCTAATGTAAACACTGTCGTAACGATTTCCAGGGTGATTGTAATCGTATAACTAAGACTCGAGCTAAAGACACCAATCTACTGTTTAAGCAATAACAGTCAATTGATGTCTTAAGACACCAAAGATAAGCTATTATATATCCGCCACGAGATTTTCGTAAAAAGTTTAGAACGGTGTTAATCATGTTACAGTAAGTTGTTATTTACGAAAAAATTAATAAAACGTTCACATTCTAGGATACTTGCCACTAATTAATTTTCTGAGTCTTGGTTCAAGTTCTAAAAACATCACAGATGATGTTCATAAAATCTTTATCCATTACGTTTTTCGTGCTTTAAAACATCTCTAACTATTGTAGTAAATGATGTGTAAAGTTATGGAATCATGATTCACGGTTTGCACCCTATATATGTAGGCTGGAGCATACGTTTAGTTATAATTCTAGCTTTTATTATGTCTCACTTAAATTCGTATTTAGACAGCCTCCATCTTCCTTTTGAAGTTCTTTTAAAAAGGTAGGGCAAAAAGCAAGGGTTATTTTTCTCAAAACAACTCATTTAGTTATTAATCAGTTATTCGAGCGAAGCGTGGAACGTAATCATCCAGCTTAAATCCCTATAATACATAGTGAATATGGAGGTAGTAAGGTTGAATATTTCTACCTAAATGCCCTCAAAATTTCAACTCAAGGTACTAAACAACTAACAACTTTACTACATTAATTCCACGTAATTACAATTTCTTTCAATTCATGTGAATTTGTCACTAGATATTCAAATAGCTGCATGTATCAGGTTGTAAGCTTTTTTGGTTCATGTTTATATGTTAGTTGTGATCAAACTGGTGCAAATGTTAAAACGGTACAAAACTTTTATATTACGTTTAGTTACAACTTCACGATACATGCCACCAACGTCACCGATGGCAGTAATATCGGAGTCTGCTGCCGCCCAACTTTTAGATTTTTCTCAGCGCCTCGATATTGGACTTCTAGACCGTGTTGTAAACTGTATGTATCATGAAGCAGGCGATCAACAGAAAATCGCAGAAAAAGTCCTGAATACACTCAAGGAACATCCAGATGCATGGATGCGTGTAGATTCGATTCTAGAATTCAGTTCAAACCAAGAAACGAAATATTTCGCCCTTCAGATACTTGAAGCATTAATCAAAACACGTTGGAAAGTCCTAGCTCGACCACAGTGTGAAGGTAACCAGTACTGTAATCCAAGACTGTCTTCTTAGGTATCAAGAAGTACATTGTTGGTTTGATAATCCAAACATCGTCTAGTTCGGAGCTCTTGGAGTCGGAGAAGACGTATCTTGGCAAGTTAAATATGATTCTGGTTGAGGTAATAAAAATTTGATGACTTACTCTCCTTCAGATATTAAAACATGAATGGCCTAATAACTGGTCAACATTCATTAGTGACATTGTTGGGGCGAGTAAGACAAACGAATCTTTATGTCAAAACAATATGGTCATCTTGCGTCTTTTAAGCGAAGAAGTTTTCGACTTCTCTTTGGGTCAAATGACTCAAACAAAAGCCAAACATTTAAAAGACTCTATGTGTCAACAGTTCAGTTTGATTTTTCAGCTTTGTCAATATGTCTTGGAAAATTCCCAAAATGCATCTCTAGTTGTGTCGACGCTGGAGACGTTACTTCGTTTTATGCACTGGATTCCCTTAGGATATATATTTGAAACTAATCTAATACAAACCTTAGTATTTAAATTCTTCAATGTCCCTCTGTTCCGAAATGTTACTTTGAAATGCCTTGCAGAAATAGGTATGTTTTATTTTTGTATTGATTTATTTTTGTTTAGCGGGTGTATTAGTTGACGAATATGAGACCCAGCTAGTAGAATTGTTTGTTTCTACTACCGATAAACTAAAAGAAGTGAGCTAGTCTATATTATCTAGTAACTGTTGTACAGATGTTGCCTTTAGAAACACGGCTAAAAGAAGCGTATGAGCGCGGAAGTAATGATGAACAGAGTTTTATCCAAAACCTGGCAATTTTTTACACAACATTCCTCAAAGGTCATAGCAGTCTCGTCGAAAAACCTGAGCTTATTTGGAAATTACAAGATGCTTATGCTTACCTCTTGATGCTTTCCGAAGTCGAGGAAAGGGAAATATTCAAGATTTGCTTAGAATACTGGAATATTTTGGTTTCTGATCTATATCGAGAAAGTCTTACAACTACGGTAGTTGGAACATTGGCTGAATCCACCACTGGTGAAGGTCGAAGTAAACAATATGCACCAATTTTGTCTAAGGTATTCCCCATTTTATTTAAAGATTTATTCTAATGGAGGGTTAATACGATTGCTTTTTTTCACTTTTTATCGATGTATCGGTACTGGAAACAGACACTGATCACAATTTCGCCTGCGGGAAAGTGCTGTTAACTTATTCATGACAATTGAACAAAGTTTGTCTTACTTTTGGAGTCTTACAACCATTATGAATAGTGAGATTAGTAATAACATTAAAAGGGTCTCCTTTTGCAAGCGCATCATAATGAAATAATCTAAGTAAATATTCTGATCCTTCAATTCTGATGCCGAATTTCGCTTGATTTGGGAGTTGTACACCTTAAGTATTATTCCGAAATTATTCTGTACAATAAATTAAAATAGGTCTTTTTTTATAAAAAAAAGGACTATATGATTCATTGTTGGGATGCACATATTTCCTACTACATCATGGTCACGTATTTCCGCCGCTCAGATTTTCAATTCTTTCTCTTGTCGTTACTGAGTTTTTACACATCTTATTACTAATGTATGTGCTTTTTCGTTTATTGTTTTCTCTTTCAAAGGGGATTGCTTAATAGTTTGTATATATTAACATCATATGATGTCTTTCATTTATAGAAGGGGTAACCTTTGTGTTATCATCGTACATTCACACTGTTGCTTAGCTACCAAATTCTATAGGTCAAGTTTTTGTGCCACGTTATGACTAAAAGTCATTTAGTTGCATTATGGTAACCCGTTTTCTTTACAACCATCGTAAATATTCCGAGTTTATTTGAGATTATTTCTTGACAACTTTCCTATTCGCAGCTTCGAAGAATCATGATTTCACGCATGGCTCGTCCTGAAGAAGTACTTGTAGTTGAAAATGAACATGGTGAGGTTGTCAGAGAGTTTATGAAGGATACGGATAGTCTTAATTTGTACAAGAGCATGCGCGAAACATTGGTATACTTAACTCATTTAGATTATTCTGTAAGTCCCATTTAGTTTTATTCACATGTTTAGATTACTGCTTTTTCAAGTACACTTGCAAGTTCGAGTGGCTGCAATTATCAATATAATTCAAATCAAATTGTAATTCAATATAAATTAGTCCCTGTATTTCATTCACTTTACATATGGCATTTGGTTAGTCTGCGGAAATATTTATCATGACCAGGACATAATCTCGTGAACCGGTTTTAACGAAATAGATTACTTGTCGAATTAACAATTAAATAAATGATTTGGTGAACTAAACAGAGATTTGAAATTTAATTAACAATAGTCCGTTCAACTTTAAACCATTGTTTCTCGTTTATGCAGTAATTTTGGTATGTATAGTTTGATGGCTAAACCACTAGACTTTTCACTAAACTTCATGGTTGTATGTTTCAATCGCACCCTTATTTTGGTTGAGATAGTTGACTATCATTATTGGCTCTTATACCAGAAAGTTTTAATGAAAACGGTGTACATCATTTGGTAGTGAGTCATCACAAATATCGAAGTATAACAAACAGTTAAAACACTTAAAATGTACGAGTTAATTTCTGATCCTCGCATCCTTTGCTTGGCGTTATGTTATGTTGAGCATTAGTATAAATTTCATCAAATATATTTAGGATTTTATTTTATTATTTAAATACATAAATATTGGTACAAAGGGGCACCAGATACATATGCACCGCAGAAATCTCATTTGATTTGCGTGAGGGCTATGATACTGCCTAGGTGCCCAAACTGAAGCAGGTGGTTTTCTTAGGGGGCCACACCCGGAGCCTTTGACCTAAAGGTCTGATCCACTAGGCAGTGGAGCAACGTCAAGAGGTGCAGTCTCATGGTAGCCGGTGACAAACGTTAGGTTCATACGCCATTTGTTCCCTCAGGACACTAGAACCCATGTACACCATTGGTTTGGAATCAGGGTTTTCCAACTCCCCTAGGTGGAGTTTCCGTGCCCACCAACCCTGTTAAAGCGCCAGACATTCGCTTATCGTTCTCTCAATTTCGTAAACAACACCCCAGCCACGAGAAGGCAGTGAGTAGGACTTCCCTGGCAGAGGCTATATACGCGTGACCATGTGAGAGCACTTCGAGAGGGAGAGAGGACTCTCCCCACTCTCGGCCGTACCAGGGCATTTGGGGGCCTTACTTTACTTGTGTACCTATAACCTTGTACAACCCAGAAGGGTAAATACCATTCATTAACAGGTCTTTTAGCTAAACTGTGGTTCACACTTGTATATACTCACGCCTGTTACCCCTCGTGGAACATAGATCACCGACCAGGATTCTTCAACCTAATCTGTCCTGGGTTCTCCTTTCCAGTTGTTTCCAGTTATTATTCATTCTTTTGATGCAACATGTTCTTTAGTCTTCCCGTTTTCCTCTTGCCTTCAGGATTCCAAGTTAAGGTCTGCTTCGTAATGTACATTGATAATTTCTGCAAGATATGTCCTATCAACTTCAAGCTTATTTCCCTAATTTTTTTCAACTGAAAGCTGGTTTTTTTTCTCCTACAGTAGGTTGTTGTTAATAGCATCCAGCCAACGGGTCCGGCGCATCTTGCGTAGACAGTCGTTTCTAAAAACCTTTACCTTTCTGATGATGGTTATAGTAGGTCTCTAAATTTCAGCTCCGTACAGTGAAACTGTCTTGATGCTTGTATTAAAAGTTCTGGATCTGACGTTGGCTGACAGTTGTTTTGAGTTCCATATGTCCTCCAGTTGTAGAAATGCTGCCTTCGCTTCGCCACTCCCTCCACAGCTGCATCAGATCCTCGTTGTTTATTAACGACGCTGTTTAGGTGCGTGGAGGATTCTACCTTTTCTAGGACCATGTCACGGAGTGTGACTTGGTTTGTTCTGAGTGTGTTGTTTTTTAGGGTCTTGCCTTTTCCCTGATGAATGTTGAGATCTGCTGCTACGGAAGCCGTTGTTACACCGACTGTCTTCGCCTGGATTTGTTACTGTTTGTTATAAAAGGGCTAAGTTTGAGAAATCCAAATCATCTATAATAAGGTTGTTTTCTACGGAATGGGGTGGCTGACCCCACGTCCAACCCTCCTACTTTACCAGGTCTTGGGATCCAGGGTAATACTAGAAGAGCTATAGGTGGAGTTACCCTTGTATATGTGTTACAGTAATTCTGGACTGTTAAAACTCTGATTAATGAAACAAACTTGAATGCTTTACGTTTAAACAACTAGGTAACACTTTTTAGGATCGACTACTGTACATCTTCGGATACTCACTGGTGGAATAAAGTGGTAGTTTGATGACTAAAAATCAATCAAATACGGTAACTGTAAAACCAGTTACAGGTTTAAGTATCTCTTTTTGAGTCACACATTTAATGAGTACTGGTGGTATTACTCAGGTGCTCAATTAAAATTTGCTGAATCGTGATCCGAAAATTCAGAGTCAAGAGTTATTAACATTCATCACGTAAACGACGACAATCATTTTAAGTGTAAATAGTTCTAAATCCCTGTTTCATCGTGATCACTACAATATTGTTGCTTCTCACAATTCTGTACGCCATGGTAGGTAGATGCTTATTCGCTAAGTTATTCATGTGATAAGAAACCGAGTTAACTGATCATTAATTGTTCTAAAATGTTTTGACACTTCGTTTGTCATGTCAAAGTAAACTATCAGAATCGGTAGACCAGATACATAACGAATTAATATTATGTCGAGGAACTATGATAAACTCTTCCTATTCGTGATCAGGAAAACATAACAATATGTTTCCGTTCATGATATCTACCTATCTATCTTTATGTATAAAACTTTGCAAGTTTTTCGATAGTACTTGGTAGTTAGTAAACATTCCTCGTAGACGAGTAGAGTAACCTTATATAACTTTAAGGATGTCTCCATGTTAGAATAATAATTCAAATATGATTAAACTAACAGACTTACCAGTTTAATTGGTGTCTGGTATTTGTCTGTCAAAATTAGTTGGTACGTAATTTCAAACAGTAAATCACATTCGACTCCTTTCCGCTGAATTTTCAGTTCAAAAATCTAAATTGTGGTTAGGTATACCAATGAATATACACATATCAGATCCTCGAAGAAGCCCTGCTTGTCATTCAAATGGCATTGATCTCTATTCAGGTGCATCACTATACGGTATTATTTAACTGAGTATTTTCTGTTCCAAGACGTTAGCTAGTTCAATCTTGCAACGTTATGAGTGCTTGAATTGTAGTAGGTGTTCACGATGTTTCATTGTTGAAGCAATAGATTTTTTATTATAAAGTCCTTGGCAGTTAAAATAATCGTCTTTAAATAAGTTATTTTTTTTTATCGAAAAACATTGTAAGTACTCCTACTCATTCCGACCGTTCCCAATAAAAAGTTTGATTCTCAGTGTTTTATTTAAACTGAAGTTTCAAACTTTAACTATCAATAATAGTATAATTATTGTTTATAGGACACAAAAAAGATTATGATCGAAAAGCTGCAACACCAAGTAGATGGACGAGAGTGGTCTTGGCACAACCTTAATACACTTTGTTGGGCGATCGGTAGCATCTCTGGTGCTATGCAGGAAGACGATGAAAGAAGTTTTCTAGTTATTGTAATTCGAGACCTTCTTGGTTTATGTGAACAAAAACGGGGCAAAGATAATAAAGCTATTGTTGCAAGCAATATCATGTACGTTGTTGGTCAATACCCTCGATTTCTGCGCGCACATTGGCGATTCCTAAAAACTGTGATTACAAAGCTTTTTGAATTCATGCACGAAACACATGAAGGTGTGCAAGATATGGCTTGTGATACCTTCATTAAAATTGCTCAGAAATGTCGGAGACAATTAGTAACTGTACAGGTACGTGCATTTTATGAAATATTGATTGCATTATGTAAACACTAAACACATATCATCGTTTGCATTTCTCTTCTAAAATATGTGGCGTGTATTTTTATAATCGACCAATTTATAAATGAGTTCAGGCGACCATAGGTCAGGAATTGTTACGGTTGCTGCTACCTTGACGTGGTGGTCGGGCTTGCCTATCGTGATGAAGCAATCGAGCTATGCTGGCTGGAACAATCGTTCCTCAAGGTCCTACCATGCCAGACAGGTCGGTTGAAGAGCGGTGAGACTAAAAGCAGCAAACCCAAGGTCCGAAGGAGAAGTCGTACTGCTGACTGTACAGAGGTGTGACGGCAGTAAGGTGTTTCCTTCAGACAACCAGCATGACAGCGATGCTGCCTTCCCACAAGGAGGAGTGGGGTTAGAAAAGGTCGGCCCTAGAAATGCACACCTCGCCTAATCCCACGGATTTCCATCTCCGGCGGTAAGGTTTTTTTTGAAGAACGGAGCTAACACAAAAACTACCCACAAAAAGGTCGTGTGTGACCGACCTCAAGCAGTTGTCCCTTGAGCACTGCGGTCACGCTCTCAGGTCATTAAGACCACTTCTAACCCAATTTCCTTTTCAGGTACCTCTAAAAGAACCCTTCCACGGTGTGGGCAACCGGGAAGTGATAACTGCCCTCATACCTCTAACAGCACTCAAGACCACCGTATTCATAATCAATCTCCTTCAATTCCTACTATTCCTTCTACCTTGACTTTCAACACTAAACTTCCTGTTCCGGTTTCCTCCTCAAGTGTCACCATGGCCAACGATTCTAGTGCGCGAAACGCTGTCCCAGGTCTACTTAAACCTCGCTCCAAACTACACATTGGAGCCTTCAACGTACGTACCCTATGCCAAATCTATCAACAGGCCTCAGCTAAAACCCTAGAATCTCGTACCATTGATGTATGCTGTGTCTCCGAAACACGCATACAGGATCCCAGTGTGGTCATTCACTTGACCTCACCTCGCCAAAATGGACAGCCAACGAAATACACCCTCCGTGTATCTGGCGACCCGTTGGCTAGTTCTCGCGGACTTGCAGGCGTAGGCATAGCACTAAGTACAAGGGCAGAACAGGCACTATTATAGTGGATCCCCGTTAACAGTCGCCTGTGTGCTGTCCGGCTGAATGGCTCCGTAAGAACTCGGAAGGATAGGGACACACGTCGTTGCCTTTTCGTCGTTTCTGCCTACGCTCCCACCGACTGCAGCCATGATGAAATGAAAGATGACTTTTACAGAAAGCTATCTGAGCTTCTTCAGAAAGCTAAGCGCTCAGACATAATACTCGTTGCAGGTGACTTTGATGCCAAAGTAGGTAGCTTAAACCAAACAGAAAGACATTTAGGTGGGTATTTTAGTATCCCGACTCAACGAACCGATAATGGTGATCGTCTGTTGCAACTATGCTCAGACAATCGTTTATTTTTAGCAAGCACTAATTTTAAACATAAGGAGAGACATCGTCTAACATGGCGACCACCTGCACCAAACCAACGATGGACTCAAATAGACCATATTGTCATCAGTCATCGTTGGAGAGGCTCAATAAAAGATTGTCGCTCGTATTGGAATACTTGTTTAGACTCTGATCACGCTTTAATACGAGCGCGCATTTGTCTGCGCCCCACTGGACGCAGAAAAACCATACTAAGAAGACCCATTAGAATTGAACTCAGTGACGATAAAGCCAAAAGTAAGTTCCAGGAACAACTGAATTCACATTTAGGCGGTTCTGTAAACGAGGCTGACCCAGATGTTTCTTAGAAAGATATACAAACTGCTTTGAAAACAGCAGTGACATCTATTAGTAATTTAAACCATAGGGCTCCAAAAAACCAATGGGTTTCTTCTAAGTCTATTTCACTGATGGATTCGCGTAAACTCATCCCATCAGGCTCTGAACACAACGAAGAGCGTAAACAAATCAAATGTAGGTGGACTAAAAGTCTAAGGAACGATCGTGAGCAGTGGTGGGCAACGAAAGCAAAAGAGATGGAAAAGGCAGCGGCTGTAGGGAACACCAGGCAACTATTCAGACTAATAAAAGAAACCGGAATTAAGAAGTCAATTATGAGACAATCTCGGAAAAAGACGGAACCCTTATCTGCTCTCAACCCAAACGTTTAGAACGATGGGCGGAACACTTTAAGGAGCAGTTTAGCTAGCCTTCAGCTACTGCACAACTACCCACTATTCCTAGAAAACCTGAATGGAACATTGAAGTAGGCCCCCCGACCCTACTTGAAGTTCAAAAGGCTATAGGTAATCTGAAACGAGGAAGAGCAGCTGGTCCTGATGGATTGGCTCCAGAGGTCTTTAAATATGGTGGTCCGATTTTAGCTATTAGGTTGACTAATATTCTGGCTAAAATCTGGGAGACGGATGTAATCCCATCCGACTGGTCACAATCACTGATTGTCCCAATATATAAAAAGGGGTCAAAATCATCCTGCGATGACCATAGAGGGATTAGTCTGACTAACATAGTATCTAAAATACTTGCCTTAATAATTATCGGGCTCCTAACTAAGACTCGTGAACTGCAAACACGAGAAAATCAGGCTGGCTTCAGACCTGGTCGTGGCTGTATCGACCACATATTCACCATTCGTCAAGTTTTAAAGCACAGACACGCTTATCGGCGTCCGACAATGATAGTTTTTCTTGACTTGAAAGCAGCATTTGACTCTGTAGACCGGAAGGTTCTGTGGCAGTGTCTGTCATTGAAAGGTGTACCTGAGAAGTACATAAACCTTATGAAGGCTCTTTACTCGAACACTACCAGTCGAGTGAGAGCTTATGGCGAACTGTCATATGATTTTACAACCTCAAGTGGTGTCCGTCAAGGCTGTCCACTATCCCCATTTTTGTTTAACTTCATTATAGACCTGTTGCTGGAAATAACACTCTCTTCGACTGAATTTACAGGAATTGATCTACCAGGGGGTCCACTAAGCGACTTAGAATACGCAGATGACATAGTCCTGTTTGGTGAATACGCTGGCAAAATGCAGATTCTTCTGTTAGAACTGAGTAATAATGCCAGGATGTTTGGGATGCGCTTCTCCCCATCCAAATGTAAATTGTTACTCCAGGACTGGCCTGCATCAACACCTGAACTAAGGATAGGGAGTGAAGTAGTCGAACGCGTTGACAACTTCACTTGTCTTGGAAGTCTGATCAGCCCTAATGGGTTGGTGTCTGACGAAATCTCAGCACGGATTCGGAAAGCTCGTTTGGCTTTTGCCAACTTACGTCACCTATGGCGAAGACGAGATATCCGTCTATCAATTAAGGGACGAATATACTGTGCAGCAGTTCGTTCTGTTCTACTTTACGGCTGCGAAACATGGCCATTAAGAGTAGAAGATACTCGTAGGTTACTAGTATTTGACCACAGATGTCTTAGAAATATTGCTCGCATCTGCTGGGATCACCGGGTAAGTAATAGTGAGGTTAGACGCAGGGTATTAGGGAACGATGGTAAATCAGTTGATGAGGTGATGAATCTTCATCGACTGAGATGGTTGGGCCATGTGTTACGTATGCCTGAACACCGATTACCACGACGCGCTATGATGACTAGTGTAGGGGATTGTTGGAAGAGAGTTAGGGGTGGCCAAGCAAAAACGTGGCATCAGTGTTTGAAGTCACTAACTTCTAGTCTGAGCCATGTTGGCAGATGCAGACTACCTGGTTGGGGTCCGCGTGACTATCGTAACCAATGGTTGGAGACTCTAGGTGACATGGCTCAGAATCAATCACAATGGCGTAGGTGTATACACTCTTTATCTTCCTTTAAACCTTGAGACTAAAATTGCTTCATATCTCTCCTCCTTCCTGTACTATATCCTTATATACAACCTATAATTTATATACTACTACCACCACTAAATTAATTAATTCTATGAACCCGGTGTTCATCTTGTTGTGCTAACGAGGTATGGCAACTTGGACCGATGCATAAATGTGCCTGGTCGTACGTTGTAGCTGACTGACTGACTGACTGACTGTTACGGGAATCCTTTCATGAAGTTACGAAACGGAATTTACTTTCTCATTCACGTTTAGTAATTTGACAAAGTCAGTCAAACTAAGCGTGGTACCTGTTAACTACGTACATCAGTTCAAGTTTCCACATACCATTAGCATGAAGAGATGAAATTCTTAGGGAAAAGCCCAAAGTAGTAGAAATGATAACAGTTTCAGTGGTATCAAAAAAACAGACATACAAGATACGATTCAAGGAAATATAAATTCGTGAAATGTTAATATTATGAGGGACTCAAAAGCTTAGAATCTGGGGAAAACAATGAGTGAGTCCATCCGGCTGTTTGACAATATTGGGAATTTTCCTGATAAAATTTCTGATCTTTAGAATCTTCTATCTAACATGTCTAAAACATATTTTATTCTAGCCGACTTCATTTAGCGAGCTGATGAATTTTGAAAGTAAGGTGGCATTTCATATTCTCATGGAGATTGTCGATTCGTTATAAACATGTTTCCACACCTCATTATCCTGTTCATTAGTAATATATTAATAATTCGATTCCGGTTTTACTGTACAATTCTTGTACTTTTCTTATTCGGATAGTACGGAGAAGCAGTTGAATTTATTGAAGAGATTTTAAAGGAAATTGATATCATAATCAATGATTTACAACCTCAACAGGTTCACACATTTTATGAAGCTGTAGGAGTTATTATCAGTGCCCAACTTGACTCAGCTGTTGAAGCTAGACAGATAGAACGACTTTTCCGATTACCCAATCAAGTAAGTTTTATGCTATCCTTTTCAAATTATCTGGGTATAGATTTGGGATGGGATTCTCGTCCAAGCTGCATGCAATATTGACCTGTTAAGGGACTTTGAAGTTGTACAGCAACTTTGTAATTTACTGAAAACAAATCACAGTGCTTGCAAATCCCTCGGACATTCTTATCTTGTTCAGGTAAGCATGGTCATTAATCCTTGATACTTGGTTTTTATTAGTTAGTTAATCTTTTCCTAAAAGAATATGTATTCTTTTTAGCTTGGTCGCATTTACCTGGACATGTTAAATGTTTATAAGATAATGTCCCAAAATATTGGCCAGGCTGTGGCTACCAATGGAGAGCAGGTGACAAAACAACCACTTATTCGCAGTATGCGATCAGTCAAGAAAGCGATATTGAATCTGTTATCTTGTTGGATAAAAAGGACTACTGATCCTGTTTTTGTAAGTTGTTTACAAATGTCAGACATTGCATTTATTGAATCTCCGTGCTGAAAATAACGGCCATCATAAATCTTCACTTCTATCTTTTATGTAGGTGGCAGAGAATATTTTACCTCCGCTATTGGATGCCGTAGCTGACGACTACCAAAAAAATCTTCCTGCTGCTCGGGAGGCAGAAGTTTTGAGTTTAATGGCTACCCTCGTTAATCGTCTTGAAGACCATATTCTTCCAGCTCTGCCTCGTGTTTTAGATGCAGTCTTTCAGTCTACTCTAGAGATGATCGATAAAGACTTGGAAGAATTTCCTGAACATCGAACTAATTTTTTCACTCTTCTACAGGCTGTAAATGCTCATTGTTTCTCTGCTTTGTTAAGCTTAACATCTGATAAGTTCAAACTGATTTTAGATAGTGTTATTTGGGCAATCAAACATACTATGCGTCAAGTAAGTTGTCAAACCTTTCATTTCTATTTTGACAGTTTTAATGTCACCTTGTGCGTATTAAAGAATACTAAAATTTTGTTATTTTTGTAGCCTGCCACATAATTATCTCACACTAATTTGTTAGACCTCACGAATTATATTTATAATTGTGCACATCACTATTTACCAAACAGTCGATGTTCTGATGAGTCATTTTCACTAGCTAATTTGGTTATATTCAATCGTATTTTATTTCACTCAAGATCGTACATGAAGTATTTATTGGTCAATTATGCATAATGTATGCAAATAGACCCTTAAGGTGATATCTTTTTGAAATCTGATCACCTGGTTCGCTGTTTTAGTAGCGTTATTTGTCTTACATCAGTATTATCACTTAATAATTCTGCCACAGTCTTCTTTCAAGGGAATGATAGCATAACTGGGATCTTCCCATGTTGAGTATAATGTCTTGATACCATATACTTAAAAAGCATGCTGTAACAATATACTTATTTGTTAACTGTGTAGGTATTTCGGTAGGATCACTAGTTGGTTGGCTGAATTTTCTACAATCGTTTCTAGAGGTCGACTGATGATCTATGGTCTATGCAACTCTTTGTACAAGTTGATTTATTAGCATACTTAGATACTGTCTACGAAAACTAGCTTTAAAAAATAATCCTACATTTGAGAGTAGTATGTTACATTTTGATTATTTCAGCCAGGTCTGAATTCTACTGTTCTCTTGAATTTGTCTCTGGAATCTAAAAGTAGGATTTTGTAGGCTTTAACGGCTTCCTATCGAGATAAGTTTAAAATGATTGCTCCGATTATACAGCTTAGATAGAAATTCAACCATTATTTCTTGAGTATTGCCTTTAAAGACTGCCAAAGGTAACTGGTCACGAGCTGGTATTCCTTCTGATTTAAGTTCAATGATCTCAACTTTGGTCATATTTAATGGCTTGATACTAATATTTTTTCTGTCTTCTGAACTTATGGTTGTCAACAGTTATTCTATGTACCTCGATCTAGATTTTGTTTTGCTTATCTTGACTCATAATTTTCGGGTTTAGATAAAATGAATGTATGTAAATCGATAACATTGGAGAAAGATACTATTTGTTCTAAATTTCGACCAAAAGTTAACTGTTATAAACGAACTACAATTAGTTTTTATGCATAAAAGAAATTGGAACGTTGACCACTTTTTATTTTCAGGTCTCTATCAATATTGATATGAAATGATTAAAGATGACATCGAGTAAACCAGAGTATGACTGTCAGTCAGTGTTATACTTGAAACTAAATCGATTCCGCGGTAACGAACGAAAGCCAATGACTCAATGACACGATAAGCTATTCTAATCTGTTGTCCCAGGCCCCGCTAACTAGATGAAGAAGTCCAAGGCAAGTAGGGGAATATATATGTATTCCGTAAGCAGCCGAGTACAAGCAATCAAATAAGGGGAAAAGTCAAGCGCATTTATACAGTAACAAATTGTCCTTGAGCATCATTAGTAAATAGCACACATAAAGAAACAATGGACCAATAGCGGTTAAGATAGTTTACAGGTGGGAAATATGACGTGAAGGTAAAAAGAGCGCTTTTGGCGCGAAAACAGCTAAATTCAAATTTTCAAAATAAAACTACAAGATTAAGCCATTTAACAAGTAAGTTCTGGGGATTTGACATCCCCAACAGTCAGTCAGCTACAACGTAGGACCAGGCACATATATGCATCGGTCCAAGTTGCCATACCTCGTTAGCACAACAAGATCAACACCGGATTCATAGAAGTAATTAATTTAGTGGTGGTAGTATGTAAAGAAAGGTTGTATATAAGGATATAGTATAGTATAGTATGACTCTATTATATTACTTACATCATTTTACTGATTCCCCAAACCTCTCACTTTCGTATATAAAGAAGTATTACTACTCCCGTTTTCTCAAGACCACAAAATGTCTCGTCAATCTTATCTGAGCTTAAGAAACAAAATAACACGATGACAAATAAATGAATTTTTGCAGGTTTATTTTATTCACTTAATGTGAGTAGTTTACCAGTAGTATTGTTATACATAATGAGGAGTAACTGTTTTCGAAATGAAATTCAAATGTGATTTGCAAAGAGAAAGTTTGGCTCTTACGTCACGTAGGTTGTTTACCTTGGAAATACACAGGATACGGCGTTTCACGCTAACCGTATATCCTCCATTATTGAAATCTTCGTTTCAAAAAATGATCAACTTTCTAAGCTAGAAATTCATTTGCAAAATAGCTTTTGGAGAACAATAAGACTGAAAGCTAGAATTTTATATTTCAAAGATTAGGAATTTTCATGATTGGTTACGAACACAATGTCCGAAAAATTAATCGTTTACATGTATGTCATCAGTTATTATTTTATGTTTACTAAAAAGCAACGTAGTTGACGTAAGCGCTGATCATTTCGGTGCATTTATAATGAACAAAAATGTTAATTTCGTTAATAATTGACTTATCCAGTGAGTTGATTCAATCCTATTAACACTTTAATATATTACAGGTCTCAGAAACAGGACTCAACATCTTGCATACAATGCTTGTAAATATGTCTAGTGCGAACTCCGAGAAACGTCAGGTATTCTTTAAAACATTCTTTATGGATATTCTTCAACACATGTTTGCTGTCATTACTGACCGCTCCCAAACAGGAAGTAAGTATTTGACAAACCCAGTAACTTCATTTTATTTGTATGGTCAGTTTTTTGTTTAAATTAAAGTTCATAGATATTTCACTTTCCAAACAAACTAAATTTTTCTGCGGATTGTCTCGAGGAGCTTACTGAAAAGCTTCTAGTTACCGTTTCGTATTAGATCACATGCCTTGAAAGTGTATTGTCAAAATATCAGTTCACATAACTCGTAGTGCAATGTAAATGGAACTCAGTAGTTCATCAGAAGAGATCACCCTAAAATGTTGGTTTGTATACGATTTTATATTTAACGCCCTAACACGTGTAACATAAATTTTTGGAAATTAGGGACTGATTCAATCATTTATAAACCACCTTACTCTAATAGTTTCTTTCGTGTTAACGTAAAATCTTAAGTGGTATATTTTATTTTTTATAAATTTTCCGCTTCAAATGCGTAGAGAAAGTACAAGCTTTATCGCCAAGTTATAATTGCACACAAAATAAGGTCTAAGTATGCTATTCCCTAATAAATTCATTAGATATCGAACTAGAAAGGATTGTATCCATAGACACACAACAACTATATCGATTTTCACCCTACTAATCTTAGCACCTTTGTTATCCCAGCCTAAGCATAAATAATCTATTGTTCGACCGGGTGTGTAATGTTGCGAAGCCTAGTCTCTAACTCGACGACGTTGGATGATTTCGTGTTCAATTATTGTTTTTTCCTTGAAATTTTCCACATATGGCAACTCTGTTTAGTTAATTATAAATTGCATAAAGTTTTCCTCAAGTATCACAAATAGTATTGATTTCGTAAACTGTTGTGGTAGTTCATATTTTCATTAAAAAGTTAGGAACGCCCGTGGTATTTTTAATGTCTTATCGTAGATATCAACTTGACTATTTCACACTATTGTAATACATTTTAGATTTAACTCTTCAGTCATCGCTGCTGGCTTATATGTTCAAAATAGTGGAGAATGACATAATTACAGTCCCTCTTAGCGATGCTCCTGAGTCAACAACCATACAAGGTTCAAAAGCAAATGTACAATATGTACACCAAAGCTTGAGTCAGTTACTAAAACAAGTATTTCCTCACCTTCAAGAAACGCAGATTCGTGTTTTTATTGATGGACTATTTTCATTTGATCAAGACGTAGCCGCATTTCGTGAACACGTGCGCGACTTCCTTGTTCAGATACGCGAGGTCGCCGGAGAAGATTTATCTGATTTATATTTGGAAGAAAGAGAAGCTGAGATTGCTCAGGCACAAGCAGCAAAACTAAGACGTCATGCTTGTGTTCCTGGAATTTTAGGTCCTCATGAAGTTGATATGTGTGACTAGTTGAACGAATATTCGACCAATTTTTAGTGCATTTGAATCTTCAACTTAAAACTAACATTCCCTGAAATCATACACATATGTGACAACATATATGTCATTTCGATGATAACCAGTAATTTTTCCCCTATATACTGTTGCATTAGAACCACTGGAATCATTATTGTCAACATAACTTTTCCAGAATACAGCATTCGAACATGGCAGCGTTCCACTTGTAATGCAATACTTACATTAAATCTCTGCGAAGCTATACACAGTTACCCCAAAATAATTCTTATTTCAATTGCTAGTTACTTTTTATTAAAATGAGTTCATTTCGATGAAAAAAACAAATGTGGAGCCATGTATATCATTATTAAGATAATATTTGTTAATATACTGAAGTAATACATTTGAAGTTATCCATAAAAAAAGTACATTCAGGTGTCAGGAAAAACAATAGCGCTACGAATATCTGTTTTTCGTCTTGTCAAGACCTAACACCTCAACAGTGAATGCAACAGGTCGGCTTCTAGTTGATGCCTGGAGATTATCACTTACTGACATAAGGATAGGTAACCTATCAATAAGGTCACTTAGTTCTCCTCTAGTCCTGCAGTAGAATCCAACAGCGCAAGAAGGGTTTAGGTTCGTTGCACTCATCGTTTTAGGAATAGGACAGTGCCAAGACTAAAAAAATAGAAATTCAGAATATCAAGTTATTTAAAATAATACGAATCACTGCTCAGATAGTGATGTTAAGGAATACATTTATTGTACGAAAACCAAGAAATGCACCACAATATTAACAATAAATTTACGTTTGAGGTCCCAATATAACTGGATGTGGAGTCAGTTTGGTGGATTTAAAACTGAGTGAAAACAGCAGATTTAGAACTATATATCGCCAACCGCCTGGTGTTGTAAGTTACTAGAGTTTACCTAACGTATATAAATGTCCTAATGTAATCAATAATATCAAAGGTTTTCAAAAAACGGATAGTAAACTGAGATCGGTCAAAATATAGATAGAAAGTGTTGCGAAGGAATGAATACATTGTCTTTTAGGTCAACTTGGGAGGTAGTCGACCGTTTCTATGTCATCTTTTACAAATGAAAGTCATTCCTTGAAATGATCTGCTTCAAGCAGGCAGGGAAACTCAGAAACTTTCAGAGAAGGAATGTAAGTACGAATATAATAATTAGCAAGGATTTTTATTGATCTATAACGACGAACTAAGACGGATAATTGATGTGTGGCTAGTAGAAGTGAGTGTGGTTTACTAATGAGCGTGAACTGACAGACTAACTATTTGATTCGGGATTTTCATCCAGTGTACATCGGAAATTCACTAATGTAGTAAGTAGCAGTGAAGTCTTGTAAACTTGGTATATAAAGCGTTAGGTACAGATATATTGTGATTTACAGACAGTGAGTTAAGTTAGGGTGGTTTTGTTTAGGTTGCAGGGATTATATATATAACTTTCCTTGATGCTTAGGAAGTAATTATCGTTCAGATGAGATTTACTGAAGGAGACAAATAACGTTTTCATAACTCAGTGTACACATCTAAGAACCCTCTTAATATTGATTTTAGTAGCCGACTTCAAGTTAGCAATGAACTTGTTGGGAGATTCATTTTGCCGCGAGAAGCGTATTTATTTCTGGTATATGGTACCGTAATATGCGTACGACGAGACTTTTATAATTACATTCACCATGATTAGTTACTTTGTCGATCTCTTGTTAGTTAGTTGAAATTCGTTATACCATTGATATAAGAGTTATTCGTTTGAATATACTGATGGGAAACATTTGGTCTTTATATCAGAATGAAGGCTATTGGAAGGTTAGAGGGGTTGAGTATTCTTACTAGATAGTATACCTGAGTTTTGTTTGTGTAACAATATGATAACGTTTCATTGGGACCATTAGCTTGATTTTGTACAACAATATTCAAAACTGATATAGGAAATATAACAAAATTTCATCAAGATTTTGAGGAATCACATGGTAGGAAAAATTAGGCAAATAAGCATTAAAGTAATGATAAACTTGATGAATATTTCATCTAATACTTTACTATGTTTAGTTACTTTTATGGGCGCCACCAAATGCCCTGGTACGGCCGAGAGTGGGGAGAGTCCACTCTCCCTCTCGAAATGCTCTCACATGGCCAGCGAATATATAGCCTCTGCCAGGGAAGTCCTACTCACTGCCTTCTCGTGGCGGGGGTGTTGTTTACGAAATTGAGAGAACGATAAGCGAATGTCTGGCGCTTTAACAGGGTTGGTGGGCACGGAAACTCCACCTAGGGGAGTTGGAAAACCCTGATTCCAAACCAATGGTGCACATGGGCTCCAGTATCCTGATGGAACGAATGGCGAATGAACCTATTGTTGGTCAACGGCTACCATGGGACTGCATCTCCTTACGATGCTCCACTGCCTAGTGGATCAGACCTTTAGGTCAAAGGCTCGGGGTTAGGCCCCCTAAGAAAACCACCTGCTTCGGTTTGGGCACCCGGGCAGTATCACAGCCCACACACAAATAAATGAAATGATGAATTCTATTGACGATACTATTCTCGCTCATACTAGAAGCAAGACAATTTACACTATTATTATTATTATTTACTACGTCGTTTTTTTTTCAACTCCGCCTGTAGCTCCTCCAGGGGCTACTGCCGGTCCCAAGCCCGGGTAAAGGAGGAGGGTTGGGCATGAGGTTAGCGACCCCATCCCGTAGAAAATCAACTCGCTAAAAAAACGCTAACCAGAAAAAAATCATTCAAACTCTGCCCTGGGAGTAGAAGGAAAAATGACGTCTCATGATGAAAGCCGAGTTCATTCGGAAGTCATGAGGCCGATGCACCTTCTTACAACCAGAGCGACAATTTTTATAGGTACATGGAATGTCCGGACAATGTGGGAGACCGGCAGAGTCTTCCAAATTTCTGCGGAAATGAGGAAATACAACCTGGAAGTGCTTGGAATCAGTGAAACACATTGGACGCAGGTTGGACAACAACGACTGTCTTCAGGGGAACTTCTGTTATACTCCGGTCATGAAGAAGAAAATGCCCCACATACACAAGGAGTTGCATTGATGCTGTCCAGAAAAGCACAAAATGCACTTATAGGATGGGAATCTCATGGACCGAGGATCATCAAAGCCTCCTTCAGAACAAAGAGAGAGGGCATTACAATGAACATCATCCAATGCTATGCGCCGACCAACGACTACGATGAAGACGCTAAAAACCAATTCTACGATAGGCTGCAGTCAATCTTCGAGAAGTGCCCAACCAAGGACCTGACCATTCTAATGGGAGATTTCAGTGCCAAGGTTGGAAAGGACAACACTGGATACGAAGACGTCATGGGACAATATGGACTGGGAGGAAGGAACGAAAATGGTGAGAGATTTGCAAACCTATGTGCCTTCAATAAACTGGTCATAGGTGGCACCATATTCCCACACAAAAACATGCACAAAGCCACTTGGATTTCACCGGATCACACTACACAAAATCAAATCAACCATGTCTGCATCAACAAAAAGTTCAGGAGGACGATGGAGGATGTGAGAACCAGAAGAGGAGCTGATATAGCATCCGATCACCATTTGCTAGTCGCCAAGATGAAACTAAAACTCAAGAAGCACTGGACAATGGCGCGGACAACATCACAAAAGTTTAACACGGCCTTTCTTCGAGATGCTGACAAACTCAACATAGACCTCAGCAACAGGTTCGAGGCCTTTCATGACCTACTCAATGGAGAGGGAACCACCATAGAGAGCAGCTGGAAAGGTATCAAGGAGGCAATCGTTTCAACATGTCAGGAGGTTCTGGGCCAAAAGAAGCACCATCACAAGGAATGGATCACTGTTGGTACACTGGATAAAATTGAAGCAAGGAGGAACAAGAAGGTAGCAATCAATATCAGCCGAACAAGAGCAGAAAAAGCCGAGGCACAAGCCGAATACACAGAGGCAAACAAGCAAGTGAAGAGGAGCATCAGGACCGACAAACGTAAATATGTGGAAGATTTAGCGATGACAGCGGAAAAGGCTGCAAGAGAGGGAAACATGAGGCAACTGTATGATACAACAAAGAAACTTGCTGGAAATTACCGTCAACCAGAAAGACCAGTGAAAAACAAGGAAGGCAAAGTAATCAACGATATTGAAGAACAACGAAACAGGTGGGTAGAACAATTCAAGGAACTCTTGAATCGACCAGCTCCACTGAACCCACCCAACATCGAAGCAGCACCCACAGACCTCCCAATCGATATTGGCCCATCAACAATTGAAGAGATCAGCATGGCCATTAGACAAATCAAGAGTGGCAAAGCAGCGGGACCAGACAACATCCCGGCAGAGGCACTGAAAGCAAATGTAACAGCAACTGCCAAGATACTCCACATCCTCTTCGGTAAGATTTGGGACGAAGAACATGTACCAACAGAATGGAAAGAAGGACTTCTCATCAAGATACCAAAGAAAGGCGATCTGAGCAAGTGCGACAACTACAGGGGCATCACTCTCCTCTCAATACCAGGAAAAGTCTTCAACAGAGTATTGTTAAACAGGATGAAGGATTCCGTGGACGCTCAACTTCGAGATCAACAAGCTGGATTTCGTAAGGATAGATCGTGCACAGATCAAATCGCAACTCTACGTATCATTGTGGAACAATCAATCGAATGGAATTCATCACTCTACATCAACTTCATCGACTACGAGAAGGCATTTGATAACGTGGACAGGACGACACTATGGAAGCTTCTTCGACACTACGGCGTGCCTGAGAAGATAGTCAACATCATACGGAACTCCTATGATGGACTAAACTGCCAAATCGTCCACGGAGGACAACTCACCGACTCGTTCGAGGTAAAGACCGGTGTTAGGCAAGGTTGCCTACTCTCACCCTTTCTCTTTCTCCTGGTGATCGACTGGATTATGAAGACGTCAACATCTGGAGGAATGCACGGGATACCGTGGACAGGCAGGATGCAGCTTGACGATTTAGACTTCGCAACAACAAATGCAGAAAACGACCAGTGTAGCAGCAGTAGGTCTCAATATAAACAAAGGGAAAAGCAAGACTCTCCGATACAATACAATATGCACCAATCCAATTACACTTGACGGAGAAGCTTTGGAGGATGTGGAAATCTTTACATATCTGGGCAGCATCATTGATGAACACGGTGGATCAGATGCAGATGTGAGGGCGCGGATCGGCAAAGCAAGAGCAGCATACCTACAGCCGAAAAACATCTGGAGCTCAAAACATTTGTCAACCAACACCAAGGTTAGAATTTTCAATACAAATGTCAAGACAGTTCTTCTGTATGGGGCAGAGACGTGGAGAACTACGAAAGCCATTATCCAGAAGATACAAGTGTTTATTAACAGCTGTCTACGCAATATACTTCGGATCCGATGGCCAGACACTATCAGCAACAAGTTACTGTGGGAGACAACAAACCAGATTCCAGCGGAGGAAGCGCTGGAAGTGGATTGGGCACAAATGGAGGAAATCACCTAATTGTGTCACAAGACAAGCCCTCACATGGAATCCTGAAGGTCAAAGGAGAAGAGGAAGACCAAAGAACACATTACGCCGAGAAATAGAGACAGACATGAGAAGAATGAACAAGAACTGGATAGAACTAGAAAAGAAGGCCCAGGACAGAGTGGGTTGGAGAATGCCGGTCGGCGGCCTATGCTCCATTGGGAGTAACAGGCGTAAGTAAGTAGTAAAGTGATAAGGTTAATATATTTCCACACCAAATTCCAACACAAAGAACAGTCAATCAATAACAGTCCATCAATAAGTGTCCAACAACAAGTGTCAATACATAATAAGGATAGGGAAATATATATAACACATAACACCTGTCATCCTATCTAATGTTTATCTCATCAAGATAACCAATCATTGTCATTCTCGCCCACACATCATATACTATGTAACATTTGTAACAATGATTCACGTGTTTTAGTATACAAAGTATGTATCTGGTCACATATCGGGTACCTAACTTTTATTCTTAATAGTGTTTGCATAAAGGATAAACTTAGGTTGAAATCTGTCTAGTGGCAATCTAAAATTCTCATTTTTGGGGTTGGAGAAAGCTGGTCGGCGGCCTATGCTCCATTGGGAGTAACAGGCGAAAATGAAATGATGATGATGACGTCGTTTTTTCACTCCCTTAATTCCCAAATTGTGTATCCTTCCTTTCCAACTTATGCAGTAGCTCGCCCATGGTGGAAACTCTGTCCTATCTAAACGATCTCCAGTCATTGTCTGGTTGAATGTGAATCTTTCCACCGATTACGAATACTGAAGCAGTCTTTCTGAAACCATGTACGCCGTTCAAGTTGGCTTCCTTCAACTTTCGCACACTAATGCAGATCGGACAACAGATGGGGCTGGCTATGTCTTTAGAAAGTCTTAATGTTGATGTTTGCTGTCTATCCGAGACCCGTATTCAAGACTCTAGTGAAGTACTACAAATTCGCTCTCCATCTGTCGCTTCGAAAAGCTTGTTTCACGTGCGCTTATCCGAGGACTCTGTGGCATCTTCGTCTGGTCTTGCAGGCGTTGGTGTTGCACTAAGCGCTAGGGCTGAGGCAGCACTAATCGATTGGATCCCCATTAACAGTCGGTTATGTGCTGTTAGATTAGAAAGTTCCATCAAAGTGAGAAGAAACCGGCGTGAGAATCGGTGTCTTTTCGTCATCTCCGCCTATGCCCCGACAGATTGCAGCCCGGATGCAATCAAGGATGAGTTTTACCACCAGTTAACAGTTCTCCAGAAAGCGCGTTCGACAGATATTGTTTGTAGTACTAGCCGGAGACTTGAATGCACAGGTCGGGCGTCTAGGCACAGAAGAGAGTCGTTTAGGTGGCCGATGGGGACTTGTTGGTCGCAGGACAGATAACGGGGACCGTTTGCTGCAACTGTGCACAGACCACAACCTGTTTCTGGCCAGCACTAACTTCCGGCACAGTCATCGCCGGTGTGCCACCTGGCGTCCTCCCTCTGCATCTCAAGCCTGGACTCAGATTGATCACATCGCGATCAGCTACCGCTGGCGTGGTTGTGTA